AAAGATTTGTAGCCTTGGAAAACCAGTCAGCAGTGAGCTTGGTTTTTTGACTTGAGTTTGATGGCCTATGCAATCTTGGGGTACAACCGCTGTCTAGAGGCAAACACTTGGAAGCAGAATAAAAGTTGACTGGGGGTGTTTTTATGATTGCTTTTAAGATACACTTTGCCCGAAAATTATGGCCCTTAGACCTTCCCTGGGACAGAACTCCCCCTCGTGGCTCAACTTGCAGCCAAAAGAGAATACACCTGCCAGGTGAACATTACCATGAGAGAGTGACGGAATCAGCCGGATGAGATCCAAAGGGTGGCATATGCCAGGGTCAAAGCTCTGAAGGCGGGGAGGGCCCTGGAAACCTGGAAGAAAGTGTGAAGCCTGCAGTTCCATTGTGGGGGCTGGGGGTTATGATCAAAGTCACAAAAGAGAATGTGTGTGAATGGAAACCAGCTTGGTCTAAACTTTCACACGAAGGTGCAAGAAAAAAAACAATCTGCTTCCAATGGCCATTTGGCTGCTGCTGCTGGGGTCTGCCTGTCGCCTGTCCGTGGTTTTGCAATGTCAACAGACCTGGTTAAGGACTTTCACACACGGTTAACTAGCCTTTGCTTTGTTTCCCAGGAACATCATTCATGGCAGTGATTCGGTCAAGAGCGCTGAGAAAGAAATCAGCCTCTGGTTTAAGCCGGAGGAACTGGTAGACTACAAGTCTTGTTGCTATGACTGGATCTACGAGTAAGAGGCGGACAAAGCAGTCCCATCTCTGTGGGCCCTTTGGCACTGTGCCTGTCCTGTGTACAGCTCTTCTTCTGGGGTTGGAAGCAGTAGGATTGATGTCCTGTCTCCTTCCAAAGCACACTGACCAATACAATAAAGTCTTTGGAGACTGGGTGTGGCCGCTTGTGCTTACTTGATTGGGTGCTGGAGGAGGTGACTTGTTTCCCTGGCTGGCCTCACACTTTGTAGAGCTAATTGATCCTGGTTGGCGGGAATCCTGATGGCATGGCGGTGAAGCACTGGCCTGCTAGCCTGAACGCCGGCGGTTGGACCCCACCAGCTGCTCGGGAGGAGGAAGATGAGGTATGCTATGGGGCTGTTCTGACCAGATCCCTGAGCAGGAACTGATGCGAAGGTGCCGTGGGACAGTGGTCTGACCCTCCTCTTGATGTCTTCTGTATTTTTATGTATTTCAAGACTGAGGGAAGAACGCAAGGAGAGGGGTGGAGCAGTGGAGCACTGTACTGGTCTCCAATCTAAAAGAACTAAGGCAGTACACTGGATGTGGCCTTTGTAGCTACCTCAACACATCTTGGTCATCGACTAGATTACGACTTACAGTGACCCTGACAGGACAGGGTAGAACTGCTCCGTGGGTTTCTGAGACTTATGGAGTAGAAAGCCTTATTTTTCACTTCAAGGAATAGCTGGTGGTTTCAAACTGCAGGTTACAGCCTCACATGTAACAGCTGTTAGTATTTGTAATTGCCATCAAATGTCTGCCCCACCCAGGAGCCTGGATAGCTTGCTGAGAATGCAGATAAGTTACACTGATGCCACCTTTAGAGAGTAGGCCCTGTAGGTAAGTCATGTGGAACTCTGCTGGCTAATTTTGCTGGTCTGCTAGGTTTAAACCAAGCCATCCCAGAGGTGAAAAGGTGTTCTTGATGAGCCAGAAGAGAGAGCCAGTGGGGAGTGCATCCTTGAAACCTGGAAGTGGGGGGAAGGGGAGGAAGAGAGGGTCCATGCCTCCACCTTCCATCCCTTTTTTAAAAAAGTCATTGGGGGCTCATTATAATCCATACTTAGGTCAATTGTATAAGCCACATTTGTACATTCGTTACCATCATCCTCAAAACATGCTCTCCACGTAAGCCCCCTTCCATCCCTTTTTAACCTTATTTTGGCACCAACTGTCCCCTACCACAGCACACTACTTTTCAGCTGGATTCTACAACTCCGTGCAGTGACCACACAGATTACACTCGGGACTATCGTTCATTATGGAAGTTGATGGGCTATGTTCAGGTGAGAAGTGTTCAGGGCATAGTATTAATCAGGACAGTTTGTCTATCATGCCTGCAGGCAGGCCTCTGGTCCTCAGCCTTTTAGCCTAGACTGCCCTGCTTGGGCACTGTTCGCTCTTTTAGGGCTGTTCATAAATGCCCCAAATGACATGCTGCTATGCTCTAAACTGCAATCCAAAGGCAGCCAGCTCCTCCCATGAAGTGCCCAGAGGCACCCACTTCACAAGCCAGCCTCCTACCCCAAAGCACTCAGCTTGACTGGCTATGTGGCCTAGGAAATCTACTGGTCTGCGGCACATTCCTGCTCCCTTGGTGTCAAAGCTGTCTCCTGGATCAGGAGCTTCAATGTGCAGCTTGGCTCTTGGGCTGCCAGGTCACCCTGTTAACCTCACAGCTGAATCCCATAATCCTATCAGTAGTCACCTCCTTACCAAGACTCGCTGGAAGACCCACATTCAATAACTGACTTAACTGTCAGGACCCAAGATTCCTGCACTGAGCTTCGATGCCTGCGACAAATTCTGTGACAGGTGGAGTAGCAGTGGCAACAGAATGGGCATGAAAAGGCTTTTCTTCCATGCTTACTGGCAGACTGGGCACTTATCAGCAGAGAAGGGCTTTGTAACACTTGCCTAGGAAGGGCTGAGGCCAAGGGGCGGGGGTATTGCTTATAGGGGTTGCTGAGAGGAGGCGGTCCTGATTAAAGGAACATTTTGAGTAGCTTGGTAACTGGATTGTGACCTGTTGCTTCCCCCAATAAACCCTTTTAAGTCAGGTTCTCAACCTTCCTAATGCTGCAACCGTTTAATACAATTCCTCATGTGGTGGTGAGCTGAGCCCCAACCATAAAACTACTTTCATTGCTACTTAACTAATTTTGCTACTGTGATGAATCATGTGTTTTCCAATGGTCTTAGGCGACCCCCGTGAAAGGGTTGTTTGACCCCCACCCCCAAAGGGGGTCTCGACCCACAGGTTGAAAACCACTGCTTTAAACGAATATTGTCTGTGTGGCAATCAGAATTACCGAACCCATAATAAGTGCTATGGGAGCTTTGGATGGTGTCAGAATTGGTAAAAAAAAAAAAAAAAGGTTGGAGGGTAGATTAAGGTAAAGCGGGACACCATTGATAAAACTCATATCCTGGCGAAATAGCCACATGGCAGCCGAAAACCGTATACTCTAGCTTGTCGTGCATTCTTTCCAAAAATTGGGACTTTTTTAAAACGCCTCGGGACGCGGGACAAATTGTTAAACATCGGGACTGTCCTGCCAAAAGCGGGATGTCTGGTCACCTTAGGCGCATCTGAGCTTGGCCTTTCCCTGAGGTTAGAGATGAGGTGTTGCTCCCTGCCATTGTACTTGTTAATCCCTCAACTGCTTTAGTCAACACAGAAATGTACCTTCATTTTTAGAGGAAGGACTTAGCAAGTGGTCCAGGTTTACCGCCACCCCCCCCCCCCCCCCCCCAAATCGAGCAAGTTCCTTAAGAGGCAATGGAAACCTACAGGAGGGGACACAATGTCACCACCATGCAACAAAGAACTCCCATGAAGTGGCTGACCGGGTGCCTGGACCACAGCTGGTCCAATAGCCACCCCCCCCACCCCACCCTGCCTCTCTCTCAGCTTCGGCTTTTCTTTAAATTCTTACATGCTTCTCGGCAGATGAGTTTCCTCGGTAAATTGAGTTCAGGAGTTACTAACAATTTACCAGAGCAGTGACTGAGGCACCGTGAGGTGACAAGCCCTGCCTGGTGGGGTAGTGTAAGTTTTGCATTGGGCTGCTAACTGCAAGGCTGGGTGGGGGCTCGAACCTACCACAGGCGCTCCAAGGGAGAAAGGCGGCTTGGAGTTTAGTTCTAGAAACCCACAGGGGCAGTTGTATATCGTGTCCCTGAGCCGGAATCGACTTGACAGCCCCCCGAGTTTGGTTGCTGTGGGGACTATGAAAGGGTAGGCAGAAGTACTAGACTGACGCATGCTTGCTGCCATGGAGACTGCCTAGGAAACCCCGCGGAGGCGGAGGCGGAGGCGGGTTTGCTAGTCCCAGTGAGTCTCTTTCAGTGGCAACCAACTTGGTGGCAAGTAGTTTGCTTTACAACAGTGGTTCTCAAGCTTCCTCAGCCGCGACCCTTTCATCCAGTTCCTCATGTGGTGGTGACCCCCCAACCATCATTTTCATTGCTACTTCATCACTGTCATTTTGCTACTGTTATGAATCCGGCGACCCCAAAGGCATCCTGACCCACAGGCTGAGTACTGCTGCTTTAGAACAATTGTTCGGCCTTTTAAAGCAGGCAGCAGGGTAGAAAGTAGTTGACTTGAAATGTTACTCTACAGCATCGAAGCTGGAGATGCACTCCCCTCAGTACTATCCTACATTGCTAAACTTGTCCAAGACCGGAAAAGGGCCTTTTACCCAGAGCCGGTGGGGGGAGGGCTTCTTTACCTTCATCTAATACAAACAGCAGGAGCTGGAGAGGCAATTCTACACTGTCCACTTGGCTGATGGAATTTAAAGACAAAAAGGCAAACAAACCTCCTTTAGAAGCCGCACAACTTTGAAACAAGATTTTCATGTTTCTCTTTGCTGCTGCGGTGGTTGCCCTTTCCCTCCAGCCCCACCTTTCTGTGCAATTCCAATTTGCACCCAACCTTGCTCACCACACCCATAGCCCTGACTGATGGTAACCCCATGTGTGCTGGAGTAAAACTTCTCAGTAGTCAATTGCCAAGCCTTTGTTCCAAGGTGCCTCGGGATGCACTAGAACCATCAACCTTCCATATAAGTGCCCGAAAATAGCAACTGCTTGCATCCACCCTGCCCCGTGAATGACACAGCCCTCCAGTGTGGCCTACACCTCAGGCCCATTGAGCGAGTTGCCCCCCTTTCACGCATCCCTCTCTGACTTGCTCAGAGAAGACATTCAGCATTCTGACAGAACCCCTCAAAAGCAGATTAAAGAAATGTTCAAGTACAACTTAATGTTGACATTTTATTTTGTGTAAAAAAAGGGCAAATTTAGTGAATTATTTTTCGTGTACACAAAGTTATAATCTTAATGCTTTTCACATCCATGCTGAAAATTTGCAATTTGGTAAAAATGAAAGGAACATAAATTTCTCTGAAGGAAATTTTCACGCCATTATATACATTTCATGAGAAAGTTTCAAACACTTTCTCGGCGATCACAAGTTACCAAGAAAATAAAAGACTGAATTTGTACAGATATTGATCTAGATATCAAATACATACAGCAACGATGTAGAAACCGTATGCAGTTTACTTCGACCTCTGTCCTCCAAAGACTCACCCGGGGACAGATGCTTTTCTTTTGTATAAAGGACTGTGGCTTGATTTAAAAGATGAAAATCAAAGGAAGAAACCCAGTTCAATCACAGTATTTTAAAAAATCCCTTCCCAATATTAAAGGATCATTACCAAATATATAGCACCATAATACAAATATTGATGGGAGAGGGCATTCACATCACGCAAAATAATAATAAAAAACAAACAAACACTGAAAACCCGTGTTAGTATCCGTAGAATAAGTTGATAACAGCTTTAGCTTTCCTCATACACAGCAAGGAAAAGGTTAAAGAATTTAAATTACCAAAAGTCCCCAAATAATTCTAACAAGAAAAAAAATAATCACCCCCCCAGGTCAGCAGTGACTTTGAACTGAGAGAGGACTGGGGGACGGAGTTAGATGACTTGAATTATGGCTAAGACATCAGTCTCCTCCGCAGTAACTGGTGTTTTCCGTTCACCAGCAGGAGGAGTTAGCGCCTGAATCGTGAAGAGGCTTCAGCTTGTGTTTAGACTGTAGAGAGCCCTTACCAACTTTTAGCTGTTGGTCAGGGATCAAGACAAGACACACACACACTTCATGAGTGGGCAGGAAATTCACCATCACTCAGCCTGGTTTTGCTGCAGGATTGGAAGCGTATCTAATCTGGCGACAAATGAGCATTTCATAGAGCGAATCCCCAGGACTGACTGGCTCCTCTTGGTGTACTGTTCCCCTGGGCCCGCCCTACAACTGCCGGCATCATGGCAACCAGAGGCCTGGGTGTGTGCAGACTAACGGAACTTCCTGCTTTAGAAGTCTTGTAGGCTTTAAGTTTATGGGAAGATGCTTAAAAGTTAAAGACTTGGGAAGTGTGAGAATGTCACATTTTACAGTAGGCCCCCCCCAGCAATGTTAAGATAAATATCCAGTAATTTAACAGCTGAATTCACATACATTTGACACATGAGAATCGATCTGTGTTGATATGATCTGCATTTAGTGCCCCTCCCAAGAGTCAGTATTAAGAAATGTTGACATGCAATTCCATACATTCTTACACTATAAAGTAACAAATTTTACTTCCAGTAGCAACTACAAAACCTTATGTTATTAACCCCTCTTGCATAGAATGAGGTAAACCTGTGCGTATTACCAATGTTTTATACCCAAAAGTAGAGCAATATTTTAGAAAATAAATTGCTGGTTTTTAATGTTCTATGCATTTTAAAATTCAAACAAAAACTTACCTACTAAAATGGTCTCCTGGGGCTTTCCATTAGCATTTTTAAAGCATTCCATAGGTTGAAGGGCTGCAGAGGTTAATCACTTTGATTAATTTCTAATCAGCCCTGCCTATGTTCCAGAGGAGATGGTCAACATTACCACTCTGAAGAGGCCGGGCTAAGACCCAGAAGCACACAGATGCAATTAATTCCTGAGAGTTTAGTTTCTGAACCTCACTGGTAAACGCCGGAGCTCTCATTTCAGTCACAGCTCGGTGGAAAGTGAGAAAATGCAGAGAGCAAACCTTTTCACCAATTGACCCTTGCATCCTTTTTAAAAGGAAGCGATAGGAACTTAAAACAGGGAATGTTTAAAATGGTCCAAATCAGTTATTGTTTTAAAAAATAATTCTGAACAGCTAAAGACAACGCCTACTACAGAGATGGAATTTTTCAGAAAATAAAAGCAATTCTTTTTCAATTTAGTTTCTAAAAAAACTCAGGATAGTTAAAGCAGAGCTGGAATGATTATGAAACCTGAACTTATTTTGGCCTCGCGGAGATTTTGATTCTCCTGCTAACACAGAACATCTGTTTGGGGGTGTGGTCATCCCAACTACTGTCTCACAGGTGGGGAGAGACGGCTGGCAGAGAACTATCAGATTCCCTGCTGGGGAGTATATTTCAGTAAGAAAAAGAAAGCAAACTTAGGACAATATTGCATTTTCCCCAACCCCTCAACATGTAGGCTGAGATCCTGTATATCCTATCAACCATTCCAGTTTAACACTTTAGTGTTAGGAAAATTTTAATCTTTTTTTAATTAATTAAAAGAACATATAAAAACGTATCCAGAGTTCTTCCAGTTTCATATAGAACTCCAAATAACTTTTTTTTCACAGAATGAAAAACATTTCTGCACAAACCTTTAAAACGGGCTGCAACAAAATGGTCACGAGCAAAATTCACTTCCCGTTCCTTCCGTGGTCTGTGGTGAGAGCCCCCCTGCAGGCGGGTGGGCAGCCGGCTGGGGCTCAGTTGCATAAGTCTGCAGCACAGGAAGCTGGAGGTGTGACTGGCCTAACTTCTAAACATCCCAACGTCTCCCAACAGGTACCAAAAAAAGGTTCATTTGTAATGACAGTTCATTTGCATTTATGCCGATAGCCTTCTGAAATAATTTCCTTCAATCCTGCTACCTAAAATTTTAATTTTACCAAAAAGTTAGAGTTTCAGTTCTTGTTAACAATGCACATAAATCCAAACTTGGAAAATATTACAAAATTCTTTCAAAAGCTTCAAATACAACACAAAAATTGTCCATCTTTATAAATTGAAAAATTTCCTCCCGGGCTAAAATAGTTTCCCCACCCACCTGAAAAATCTGGAACTGAAATTTTCTATGTTTAGCAAAATGTCCCAGTAGTAGAAGAGCCCCCCTGTACAGCTGGATTGCTATAAATCGTCCTGTGTGAAACGCTGCCCCTCCCGCCTGTGGGTGGGTTCTGAGCTGCCTCATGGCTCCTGTTTGATGTAGAAGCTGGCAGAGCCATTGCTCTCCTGGTCAGACGCTCCCTGGAGGAAATGGTACTCCTCTCCGTCCAGCAGCTCCTCCTTCAGCTGCAGTGCAGTCACTATGAGAGAGAAAGAGCGTGTCAGGGAGTCCTCCTAGGGGATCCAGAGTGCCTTCCACCTTCATGTGCCACCAGCTCTGAGAAAGTCTCCACACGCCGTAATACCACCACCAGGAGTCTGAGGACTGCCATGAACTCTCAAATTGGGCTCAAGTACAAGCAACTGGCTTTCATTTTCGAAGTCCGGTAGTCGCTAATTAAGGAAATGCTCTAGGTGCCACGCTGTATATTCATTGGACACCGTCATGGGAGATCCAATTAGAGCTTACTAATTTGGTTACATGAATTAGAATTCCTTATGATTAAGTATTCACTTTTCTGTCAGTGTCTATTACAAATGACATTTTAGATATGGTTGGTCCTGAACCACGACATGGAATAAAGAGTAGCACAATCAATGACGTTAATATAATCTTATTATCCCCAAGGATAATAAGGATACTGAAAAGATCCAATGAAAATATATATGTACTTTTAATTAAAAATGAAATCAAGTCTGGCAATCATTTTATTACTTAAAAATTTTCTTTTGAGGTATCTATATCTATATATTTTATGTTGACACCAGCAATAAGAAAATTGGTGAAAAAGTGCTACCACATCTAGTAATAATGCCTGACTTATCTGGTGATTTGCTTTTTAATTAAAACAAGTAGTACAGGTAGCCCTCAATTTAACAATAGGTCATGCCCCAGGTCTTCTATCTATTTCCATGGAACAGTTCTTTAGTTTCTACCATTGTGGGCTTAAAGTTTCTGGATAGTTACAGCTGCCTTCTCCATCCACAGTGGAGCTGTAATGCTAGTCAGGACTCTGATGGACAGTGCTTGTCAGATGCCTGGGCCAGGTGGAAGAGGGCGTGCCACCGACTTCTTCCTGGGCCCAACACTGCTCCTAGGCAAATATTTCAGGCCAAGTTTAACTTTGAAAATTTCCTAGTCTTTTATAAAACCCTCTTTACTTGCCACTGCTCCTCAACAAAACTATCCAGTAGTCTGAGTAGTCAGTTCCTTCAAGACTTCCTCTTTACTTTTCTAGTAGAATCTGTGCATTGCTCCTCCATGTGGCGAGCTCAGCTGGGGGCTAACATCTAACCTGTAATTGTAGACCTCTCTGAGATGCTCCGGTCTCTGTGTGTGTGTGTGTGTGTGTGAGATACTGCTTCAGAGAAATGGAAACGGTCAAGAATCATAGAGTATAAACAGTCCTTGCAATCAAGTCCCGTGAAGAACGTGAGCCTTCAACATCTTCAGCACACAGAGGTCCGCTAAATCAGATGTCATACCTCCCCCAGGAATAAGATACTGTGAAATGAGAGATTTCACATCAAAACCTGGAAGGCAGGGAAGAGTGGCCAGCATGAGCTTAGCATGCTCAAGTGGCCATGATGAGTGAGGTCCCCTCCACTCACCACACCAACAGCATACGTCACTCATGGCCTCTGTATGGACCTGGCTCCCAATTCGAGCTCAGGGTCTTTTCTTCATTATGGGTCCTACCGTTACTACTGGAGGAAGAACAACAATATAAAAATGGTTATGCCTTTCAGGACAAACACTGTAGCCACAGGGAAACAGCTCATGCCTTGATTTTAGTGGCAACTAAAAAAATCATGGTCCTTGGCATCTCATTTACTAATGGAAAAGCCTTATGTTCTGAGGAGCCACCTCATGTTACTTCACTCTGGTGCTTGTTGTGGTTTTGGTTAGGCAAAATTTAATAGCCCAAAGACAGAAAAGTGAATATATTCTATGCCTACAGCAGCAACAGCCAAATCAGACTGCTGACTTGTAAACAAGGCTGTGCAGTTCTTTTGTTCTTTAAAAGGCTACGTAATGCAATACAATGCATGACAGTTCTCCTTCACTCGAGCCAAGCATGCATCCATAAAGTGTTTGGGGACATTGTAGGAATGCCATGAAAATAAACACAGGAAACAGAAAACAAAACCCACGTTTCATTAAAGGTGCAGTACCCACAATAAAAGGTTGACTAAAACAGTATCTTGTTTTATGATGGTCAGATGGCTACATGAATGAGAAAGAAAAAAAAAATCACCGTGCTTTAAGATGTTCCATTCAAAACAATGTTCTTAAGAAATCAAATGTAGGCTGAGATTCTAAGCACATCCTGAAGTTAGCTGATAGATAGCAACCAATCTCTAGATTATGTTTCTAATTCAGGTTGAAATGTGGAAATGATGTGCTTAAAATAAAGTCACTAAAGATACAGGTGAAACATTCACTCAGATGGAATGTTTTAATGTGTATTTTCATTGTTGTCATGGAGCCTAAAGTAAAGCCTGTGGCTATCTTCACACTGATCATCCACCCCGCCCCCTTTCCTGGCCTCATTCAAGATGAAGGGTAAATGGGAGAGATTCGGTGGCTGCATGTCGCCTACACAAACACAGCTTTTTAGCTCCTCATTTATAAAAAGCAAGCCACTTTGTTGATGTTGATCCCTGACTTAACATCTCAGAAGATAAGTCAACCGAAGGAGTATTTTCCCAGCTAGCAAGCCCATAAACAATGAACTCTCGCAACAGTTAAGCTTTCAGACAGCTAAAGTGGCAATGTTCTCTGCAGTTCCCACACCACGCCCACAAACATGTGCCCTGGGCCACAGACACGACAGACCCTGGAGGCATAAGCGAGTCACCCCGAAGGCCACGTGATTTCCATTCAGCGCATCAACTGTTATTGGATTTGCCAATGCCAGGAGCCAAATTTTCTCACTCACAAAACATAACTCACTTCCAAAATCAGGATAATGTTTTCAGAAAGCACACTCCAAATCCAAATCCACTCAGGGCTCACAGTACCCAAACTTAGTTAGGTAAAAGACAGCTAGTTCATAAATAACAAGTACAACAACAACTGAGTTAAAGCAAATACACGGACAAGAAACGAAGCAGGGATATTCTTTAGATAAGACTTTGAAGGTTTCTCAGTTAAGAGCAGATAAGATTGGCTTTTCAAGGAAATGAAATTGTCATTATTTGGATAATATCCTTAAAAACTTTTCAATTCCACTTCAGAGCCACAGGACATACTGAGTCGCACTTTGCTGACCCCTGATCTAGAGGGATGAGAGGGTTATCAGAGTACCCTTTAGAAGAAAACAAGATGGGAAGGATGAAGAAGACCTAGAACACTGTTAGAGAGGTAGAAGATCAAGAACTCTCCTGAAGATGGCACAAAGGAAAAAAAGAAAAGAAAAAAAAAGGCTAATAGCTACAGGCATAAAAATACCAATCAACAGAGGGCCGAGGAGAAAAGTGAAGCAGATACTAAGCGTCATCTGGGTTTTTCCAACACACCGAACACATTTTAAAGAACGCTGAGTCATGAAACCTGGTGGCTGAGAAGCAGAGAGCACGCTATGGCAGAATGGATAGGAGTGAAAACTCTGGCTTTGAAAACAAAGCTGGCCTTCTGATAGAACCTGTGATAATATCACATTTGCAATTACAAAAGGCACAATTTTCACAAGCTTCCATAAAAGTCTACCATCTTGGTCTAACCAATTAACCTAAACATGCCATTTGCATGATTAGCAGCACACATACATAAACATGAACATTATGACAACAGTGTTCACTCACATTCAACACTAAACACACGCAGCTTATCACATTTCCAGCACGGCCAGAAGCAAACACCGTGGAGCCCAAACCCTCCTGACACGAGGAGACACTACATACAGGATGGGGAGCTCAGCCCTAGGAAGCCTCAGCTGTGCATCAGGTTCATCAGTCCCCTACCCTCACCCCCAAGGCCAAATCGGAGTGGAAATGTGTAATGCAAAATGCTCAATCAGTTGAATGAAACCATGGAATAATCCTTCCTGGTTGTTTCACAATTCCATAAATCTCACCTACAACTTTCCTTTAATTCAATTATCGCAAGTGGTTTTATCTCAAAATAAAAGTCCTTCCCTGATGATGCAGCTAGTGAAGTGACTATCGAGGACTAGTGAAAATGAATTTTCGGTTGAAAGCAAAAGAAAAGTTTAATGAGTCTGCATTTATCATGCCAGACCATGCTTCATCTCCCACCACCCAGGCCCAGCACTTGAGGTGACTGATTACCTGTTTTGAGGCCGGGACTGACCTCCCGGCTAGTGCTGGGAGGAGGGAAGGCCTTCGGGGCTGTCTGTGCTGGAAGGGTTCGATATGGAGGAGGAGTCAACTCTTCGTCCCCAGAGAAGCTCCTCCGCACCCCACCCGTCAGGGGCAGGCTCGACAAACTGACAGGCTTCTTCCCAATTGGCATCTTCCTCTCTAAATATCAAGTCAGACTAAAGTAAGCTTCTACTTACATGCGTGGTACGAAAAGTGCATTATATAACTAACTAGGAGAGGTGTGTGTGGGGTGGGGTCTGATTCCTGACTCTGTGTGTGTGTGTGTGTGTGTGTGTGTGTATGTGTGTGTGGTGGTGGGAGTGACGGGGAAGATGGTTTTCTCTGAAAACGTGGTGATCTGGGCCCCAACTCACAATCAATAAGCAAAGCAAAATTAACCTGAGAGAGCATTGGGTGCGGAAAACAGTTGGTTAATTTCCTTCCACAAAAGTCAGCAGACTTGGCTGGAGGGGTGAAGAACCCAATGGTGGGATGTATTAACACTATAAAGCAGGGGTCCTCAAACTTTTTAAACGGGGCCTGTTCGCTGTCCCTCAGACCCGTGGGGCTGGACTATAGTTAAAAAAAAAAACCACTATGAACCAATTCCTATGCACAATGCACATATCTTATTTTGAATTAAAAAAACAAATGGGGCAAAAACACCAGACTGGGCGGATAAATGTCCTTGGCGGGCCATATGTAGCCCGTGGGCCGTAGTTTGAGGATGCCTGCGAAAGGCTACCTCCCTGCCCACATGAGCCAGAACACTGGCCTCTGAGCAGAAATCAAAGGGCACAGTTTATTATCTGGGTTGCAGGATTTCATTGATATGTAATGTGGTCCCTTAATTTCTGGTTCATAATCTACTCTTTAAGAAAACAGATAAAACACTTTATTTACAGAATATGCACACTTCGTGCATATTCCTCTTTTCTGACCGTGCTAAAACAGGACCATTTTACTTGATTTCATCATTTCTGTGTTATATGTACTATTTATTTGCTAAAAATATGAAACAGATGGACACACTTTTAATTCTTAATCTGAAAAATACTTCTACAATTTAAAGCTTGTTGCCTGTAAGTTCTTTTTAAAAAATAATTTTAAAAAATTTAAAACTTTTTTAATGCCTGTAAATTCTTAAACAACCTAATTTCTTTAGAAACAAACATCTTAACTCTTTGGTTACAGCAGTTTTATAAAGTAAGCCTCCAATGCTTCACAGCCAACCAAGAAATATTTTGCACCTTGTCACAATTGCATTCAAATACTGAGCCTGAAAGCACATTGCCTTAGGTTGACAGCTGAAGGGCACTCTCTTATCATTTTGATGATACACTGTCTATATTCTTCCAGAGCATATAATGACCAAGGCAAGGACCAATCACAGATTGTGCTTCCCAACATCAGGACTAAGGAGAAACGGAATCAGATAAAATCCCTAAGTAAAATGACCTGGAAGCTAGCCCTGTGTACACCTCAATTTGCCTAACCCAGATCTTGTGCAGTAACCACTTAGCCTTTTAAGAATGTGCTGAACAAGAAGAATCTCCAATCTTCTACTCAAAGTAGCCCCTGAAAACTACAGATATGTCAAAAGCTAGCGCCAAAATAATTACACCTTGAGAAAAAGAGGCTTTCAAAATGGACAGACACTATGTAAATAGCTAGTACGATGCTCTTGGCAGAAGGTACCTCTTGTTCTCAAAACGACGAGTGTAACAGCTGTTTGGGGACAGCACGAAGTACTGCAAGGCCAGCTAATACAATACAACCATTCCAGTGGCCTATTTTCTGTAAAAAATGACCAAAGAACAAACTGATGAATGATGTCAAGTACAAAGGGACCAAAGAGCTACAGGATGAATCCAAAGAGCCAGAATATAGTAATCTGCAAGCAAACTTAAAAGCAAATGAAATGCTTTGTGGCCCATCTGCTATTGGTCTGAGTGGCTCGCCGTGGACAACTCAGGCTGTTTCCCACGTTCTTTAGTAGTTTGGAAGACTGTTTCTTAGTCTAGCGCCATTCCTTATTCTTCATTCCAAAACCCAACCTGTCTCTTCACAGAATGTTTGTACAGAGCCTGACCTTATTTGGTGATACTTATTATGATCTCTATTTGACCTAGTTAATGCAAACATCTATGTACAATGGGGTTTAGAAAATGTCCCAGAGTCTGCAAAGGACGTCGGACAGTATATGCTATATACACATTATCTTTCCCAAATAAAAAAAAATTCTGAATTCTAAAAAAAACAAAACACCTGGCCCCAAGGGTTTGGAATGAAGGGCTGAAGGGCTGTTTTTCAAAATCCTCTCTGTGTACAAAGGGCAATTCAAAGGCATTAGAGATGATGTCATAATATTAAAAGTTACATCGTAGTTAAGGAACATCAGCAGATACATTCTTTAAGTGCACCCAGAGATCTAGTATGGAGAAAGATCACCAAAGGAGTACTTGATATGACCACATCATTAATTACATTTTCCTTCCTATATCCCTATCCCATTAATTTAAAATCGTTAAATGTATGAACCAGAGGCGCATCTTCATTGAGTCACACTGAATGAGGCTTGTGAATTGTGTATAACTTCCAGGAAAATTTCTTCTAAGAAACCACGGGGCACTATATAGCAGTTCTGTGTGTTGTGAAGACAATTCTGAAATCTGAGTCGTGTCCAACAGCAATTAAACTCATGGTTGGTCCACTGACTTAGTCATGGCAATTCTTCCCGGTGTTTCTACAAACAGGAGGCGAGCATTTTGAGGCCGCCTGCTCTGCGATGCTAAGCTCTTGCAGGTGAACCTCAGACCTGGGAAGCAGCTGGAAGCCTCTGATGGTGATGTGGAAGACCCGGCCAAAGACCTGTGGGTTTTATCACTGCTGTGAGGCTGATTCGCATTCGTGTTTGCTTCGCAAAGCATCACTGCAGTTCCTCACTTAAAAAACCCATAAACAAGTGACCATAACCAGAAATATGAGGATAGAATATAATAATTTCTTCTTGCTGCTTCAGTCTCTTGGTTATTTGTGAGACAGATGGTCACTAGGGCTATATGGTAAAACCTTATTTCCGGTTTAAAACAATAGCCTTTGCTGTAGAAAACCTGTGCGAAATCACCATTACCAGCTGACGTATGCCTCATTGAAGAGACATGGTTCTAGTCATCACATTAGGCGTGAGTTAGTTAAATGTTTGACTAGTATGGCTGTCGAATGATGTAATAAATATCCAAATGGCCCCTGGCAGAAAAGACTCCCCAACTCTGGCCTAACACTACACAACAGTGATTGGCAGAACCGGGTTTGAGACGCAGCTCCACTGTCATTGCTACATGCAGCTTCATTCAATAGAAGACGAGAAGGCCTCTTTGGGTTCTGTCGCCTACTAACTCTCAATTCCCCTTTCAAACTTTATTGTGATCTTAGTGAAAGTGTACAGGGAAAACTGGTTTTCCAATGAACAGTTCATAAACATTTTGATTCAATACCCAAATGCACTTTCCACTCTAAAAAAAATTATCTTTAAATATATGTAAAATGATCTGATCCCTGATGAAATATTCCAAGACAAGTTTCACAAAGAGAAAAGCCTATGGCTTTCCCAGGCAGAGAAGAAGATTTAAACAACGATACAAATATATTTAATATCACTTTTGGGCTATTGATGCCAATAACAATTCATTAGAAATGGTAAAGTATACTACAGGAAGGAAATTTGGGAAAATTGGTTTAGGTCAGTCTTTATTAGCCATCAAACTGGGTTTCTTATAAGCATCATTCTAGAGAGATTTGGCTTATGGAAGGTAAGGGTTTATTAGACTCCAAGTCTTTTCTAAGCATTAGCATTTGTCTTTAATAAAAAGAAAAAGATGGATTAGCCTTTGGTAGGTTTACATAGTATTTCAAGAATCAATCCTAGGTTCTAAAAACAATGGTAATCATTTTCCCTGTAAAATCAAAATATAGGTGTTTCTCATTACTGAACAGGCTTGCCTTTTATGGCATACTGCACCTTTAAGCATAAGATGTAACGCACAACCATTACTTCTAACAAGGGACACCATTTTCTGTGCAAGAATACTGAGACCCCACTGGGTAGCAATGCAGAAATGTATGTAAACACCAAGCCGTGACCCACTTTTCTTATGTCCTTTGTATTGCTGGGACTTAGACTTTTTCTTCTGTTTTGATGAACCTGATTGGTTTTCTCTTGATGCTGCAAGACAAAAGGGAAAATTGGTACCAGATAACAGCTTACAACTCCAGACTAAGTTAGACAAACTATCTTTACCAAGACCATTTTCATTTTGCTTATTAAGGCACATCATCCTTTGAAAGTAAGGATGCCATTCCTACAAAACCAGGAATGTCAACACCAGACAAATTTCATGATTTACGCAACAAGCTTTATTTTAAACCAATAAAATTCTTGCCTGTAATTTAAAACTCACTCAAATAGAAGGTCTAATGAAATCTGATGAACACCCTTACTGTCATCTTTTTGTACCCATGGTCTGATTCTGGGATGTGGCGGAGTCTTTAGATCTTACCTAGCAACCAATCAGACACAGGTACATTCTTGTCCTCGGGCTCACAAGATGCCTCAGGTGAGACAGTCCTCTGGAGAATGGCTGATTGTTACAAAAGGACACCTTTTCTAGATACCAACTTACACTGTGATGCTGGAGGCTGTAGCTGATATCCAGTTAATTGACACCACCCTACAGGATAGAGGTCAGGGGACTCACAGTCTACCCACTGATCATATTCTTCTTCCCATCCGTCAAAATGTATCCTCAAGAGACGGTGAATAATTCGAGTGACTGTGGCGACACAAATCAGTCGTGGCTCCATGAGATCGACTGCTTCTAATTTCATTCCAACACGGAAACCGTGATTTGGAACATCCTGACAAGGAGAAGCAAAACATTAGCACCAGGGAAGAGACTGCACAACTCCACTACCCCCGAGAAGCCAAACAATAGGAGCACCACAGCCTGATAACATACTTTAAACAAAACAAACCACCCTCAAACAATGAACAAAATATACTGTGAAAGCGAAGCACTTCGAAACTTGGAAAGAAATAAATTCATTTGTATTTAACTCAGACTGAAAATGAAAACATAGCACGAGTCACTTCTTAAATAAATAAGATTTTTCTTCACTTCTTTGTGAGGGTAAGATAAAAAGTACTGCCTGCTACTAGGGTTCTGGTCTATATACCCACGAGCTTATTCTAAACAGAACAATGGACCTCTTTAAATAAATCTCTGCAAGCAGTGGATTTCTACAGACAGCCTTCCAGTAATACACACTTGTCTTATTATCATGAGGGTGCCTCCCCCAACAAGTCCAACCCAAACCAGGGCTTCTGAGGGGATCTGCAGGGTCAGGTAGACTCAAGGCAGCAAGGTCAGATGAGGAGGTGGTGGTGACTGTTATTTGCAACTTCAAAGGGGGCAATCTTGATAAGATTTTCTTGATGGACTCAAGACAACCACGTGGCTTATTAAGACAAAGTTTTAAAAAAGGTTGAAAACTGTACTGGTGGGAAAAGGGCCAGGAAAATTGTGCTGTGGAATTCTTTCCCATCACTATATACCTGTTCATTCTTCCAGGCTGGCACAGGAATTTATTTGGGAAACATTACCCCATCCACCCTACAGCCCTGATATTGCAAGAGGACACTTCTTTTTGCTCCTCAAATGCAAAGAACATTTAAAAGGAACATGTTCTGAGGCCCTTAAGGATAGCGAAGCTGCAGTTTCAATGTGGTGTAATCTGGAGAGAGTTCTCCAGGGAAGGATTTGAGAGTGGTTATGAAGGTGTACATTGACGGACAACAGAAAAGTCGGTGAGGGGAGACGTCGGACAGGGCAAGATATGACAAAATAACAATTTATAAACTATCAAGGGCTCATGAGGGAGGGGCGAGCGGGGAGGGAGGGGAAAATGAGGACCTAATGTCGGGGGTTTAAGTGGAGAGAAAATGTTTTGAAAATGAAGTACAAATGCGCTTTACACAATTGATGTGTGTATGGATTGCGATAAGAGTTGTATGAGCCCCTAATAAAATGTTTAAAAAAAAAAAAAAAGGGTGTACATCTACAGGGAGGCTATGTTGAGAAACAGTAACTTCACATTTTGATAGTTTCCTTTAATACAGGTTCTATGATTTTTTTGGTAGCAACCCTTTTTAACTCATTCTCATATGTTTGACTAATTAAGGACTACTGAGAAATTCTGGTATAATATAAAGAAGTTTACAATAGTAATTTGCATTTGTGCAGCGCCACCCCCTCCCCCAAAACATACAAAATCATGCCGCCATTTAATTTTACCTTGTTAAATAGTTTTACTGGTGCTGCAATAGAGCCAGTTTCCCTGAGGTAGTCAAACCATTTGAAAGGAAGTTTTGTGTAACCTGAAAAATACAATGGCTTTAAAGAGCAGTTCATTTAAAATTAATATAAAGTGAAAGTGAAGAGAGAAGGCTGACTCAGTGCATTCTAAATCTCAGACTTTAGGCTACATGCTTCATGTTAAGTTTAAAATGTAACTTTGTTTCAGAGGGTACATTTAAACCCATGCCCCAACACTGCTGAGCACAAGGGTTTTCCCGACACTGAAAGGCCTCGCTCCCTTTCACTCCCTTTCCGGACAGACGCAGTCCTGCTGCTAACTTGAAGGCCAAAGTGACTCTCTCCCTCTTCCTGTTCAGAGCGCATGGACTCTTCGCAGTTTCAGGCCCAGGCTTACGCAGCCTCGCATGAAGCACTGGGATGCTCTCCCGGCTGAGAGAGCTGAGCCGGTGCTGGCTTTCCACTTGTTTGAGCTCCCCACCACCCTGCTTTCTTTAGGGAAAGCCCGACTCAAGAGATCCAAAACTGAGAAAAGCCACTTCAGCTACGAGAGCTATTTAAAATATACCATCTCTTAAAAAGTCATGTTAAAATGGAAACTTGCTTATCCTTACAGACTAATGTATTTTAAGTCAAGTCCAACATTGAAAAAAAGTTACGTAAGCCTGCCAAGACTACAGATGCCGAAGGGAAGTTTCCAGGGCAGGAATCTAGGGCTGCACTCGATGCTGCGAGCGGGGCGACCATAAAAGCGAAGTACCTCTGGGTGGAGTGAGTTCAATCATGTTAATTTCACAGAAACCGACTGGGAAGATAGAAGGAGAGGAGGCGTGGTAACAGAACCAGTCTGACCCATCAGCTGCTTCTGAGCCATCGATCCCAATCATTAGAAATCCGTCAGCAAGCACCTGTTACATTAGAAGAATCCCAAGTATTTGAAATTAGATGCCACTGTTAAAAAAAACCCTAAACATCCTAGAAAAAAATGAAAATCTATTATGTACCACTAAGTTCAACTAACTGAAATGATGGAAAAAATCTGTAAGTTCTAGTGTGTACCAGTAACACAAGCAGGATTTCAGGGGCTGGGGAAAAGAGCATCTATCCTTCACTTGATGATGACAGCTGCGATATGATGGCTGCAGCCTCACCATTTAGTATCAGTTAGGCTCTACATCCTACTTGTCCCATGCTAAGGTACCATAGATGGAGGACCCTCTCCACCACCTTCAATCTCCCAGCTCGTATGCAGAAAGTCAGACCCTCCACGGAAGAGACTGCGGCTGGCTCAAGTCAGGCAGGGTCCTCCGATTTCTCCCTTCCCACCTCAGAATGCCAGCAGCACGAGCCAGTCTGTCAAGGCAGACCTGCCACTTTTACCACTGTGACTGTTGGCCAAGACATCATCGTTATACTCTTAAGGTCCTGCAAGTTTCCACGACTTCCGAAATAGTCCAAGAAGCCTGTGAAGGACTCCTAAATATTCTTGACTCTGAGACTCAATTCAAGTTCTGTCAAATGTTCCAGCAACATCTCCACAGCAAAGGAGTCAATCCGGGCCACACATTGCTCCCACTGGTTTCTGTGGCTGGGTGGACCAGTTGAGTTCCTCAGGCTCTCCCTTACATGATCTTGGCTGGGGCCGTTGATGATGTTAGGGGTTTGTAGAAGGCCTCTTAATTTGAGGGGCCCGGTGTTTGCTCATGATTTGATCCAGGCTATAGTTTGGTTGCGTTCTTTTCACTGAACCCTACTTACAGCAGAGATGCCTGGCAAACCCTGGCCTAGCCACATTAACATAGCCACCGAGAGTCACGGAGAGTTCTCTTGTACCTCTTAAGAGGATGCAATTTTTAAATTAATGCACGTTTTCCAGTTCCATTTCTCATTCTACGTTCCTCTAACAGTTAAAGCATCAACGGGTATTTCTTGCTCTAGGAAAATACTGCTAAAGTAGTTGCCAAATAATTTTCTAACAGTGCTATTCTTTCTACTCCAAGGGGTTTTTTTTCTTCCCATTTATGTACTCATTTATATCATGATAGGTTTAATAATTCTATTTTATTAAGTTATAATCCTATTTGGCCAGACAGTTCCTTTCAAACTCGGCCTCTATCCCTTTGACTTATCCCAGTAATTCTTGGTGTACTTCCGTTCCCCTGGGAAAACAAGTCATGAAACAAGGCTGAGGGCCACCATACACATTCAAGTTAGTAGGAGTCAAGTTGAGAGAGAGAGCGGAGGAGACACAGAAAGCAGCAGAGATGCAATGAAGAGGTGCCTGTGAGATGGACAGACTAACTCTGGGCTTCTGCTTCTCCTGCCCCCCGCAATCCTTGGGTGACTGCATCCTTAGTCACTTCTTAGAAGCCATCTTCAGTGGATTTGTTTTATCTGTAAAATCATACACAGTACTACTTGTCTGAATTGTATTGTATGAAGGGGTAACCACTCCCTACCCAAAAAAACCCAAACAAACGTAATCCCCTACCAAAGGCTATGTATTTTTTTTTTCTTTTACAAAAAACCTTAATCACCTTCAAAGTACTCTCCATTAAAAAAAAAAACACTTTTTATTAGGGGCTTATACAACTTGTATCACGATCCAAACATACATCAATGTGTAAAGTACATTTTGTACATTCATTGCCCTCATCATTCTCAAAACATTTGGTCTCCATTTAAGTCCCTGGCATCAGCTCCTCCTTTTTTCCCCTCCCTTAAAAGTACTCTCCATTACACTTGTCAAACACATTTGTCAAATCTGAGATTCCATTCTTGGGAACAATTTTCAAACTCCTATGTTTGGATAGCTGACAGCACCTCCCTTGTTTTTTTCCCTTCACCTCTTCTATGCCATCAAATCAATATCCTTTCACGTCCCTCTTCATTTGCGGAAACAAAAAGAAGTGGCATGGAGCGAGTTCAGGTGAGTAAGGTGTGTGAGGCAAGAGGCATGCTGTTTTTTTAGCAAGAAACTGGTGCACTGAGATAGCCACGAGAGCAGGTGCGTTGTCATGGTGGTAAAACCAGTCCCTAATCTGCTACAAATCAGGCCCTTATTGTTGCACACTGTTACACAACCTTTTCAGAAACTCTAAATAGAAAGCTTGATTAACAGTCTGACCTGGTGGAACAAACTCCAAATGCACCATCCCCCTTACTTCAAAAAACCAAATGAGCATAGTCTTGATCTTTGATTTCACTTGACAGGTTGGGGCGAGGTGACAATGGCGGCTTTAATCATGCCTCGTCACCAGTAATGACCTTGGAAAAACGTCTGGGTTGCTTCTGAGGTGGTTCCTTCAAAGCACGGCATGCTTCCACTCAATGTTCTTTTTCCTGGTCAGTCAGAACCAGAGGCACAAATTTTGCAGCGACCATTCTTGTTCCCAAATCTTCAGTTAAAATTCAAGGAACTGAACTCCAAGATAGTCCAGCTAACTTCCCCATCTCTTGAAAGTTCCTTCGTCGGTCTTCAAGCACAAGCGCACACATTTTGTAGATATTTTCGTCCATCCGTTCAGGATGTTGACAGACATCCAGAACAAGGTTTGTCATCAATCGACAACTGAAACAAGAAAACCACTGGCACACTTGAGTTTTTCCCAGAACACTGTCCTTGTAAGCTGTGTTCAACATCACAACAGTTTTTGCGGTATTCCTGAACAGGAAACAAAATTTCACAGCTGCACATTATTCTCTTAAATTTGCTATCGCAAAAAATGAGGTTTGAGTGAAACTGCTTTTATGAAATCATTCACTGTGAGCAGTGAGCACCTTCCCAGAGACGCCATTGGGTGCACTCAGAGTGAATTGCTCGATGCTCACCTGGCAGGAACAATACTCCACCTAGTGGAGCTTTTTTCTTGGGGGTGGGTGGGGTGTTGTTACCCCCTCATATGTGAACTATTTGCTATTTCTCAATAGCAAGTACTTCCCTAATTTTTGTGTTTTACACATTTTCTTTTTCAGTGGCCACTGTCTTCCTTCATGTCTTTTTGGTCCAGTTTTCCCCAAAGATGTAGCTCTCACGTGCCTTCTATGAAGAAAATGCTTCTTCTCCAGGTTGCCCCGATTCCTCTGAAAAGGTGACCTCCATTAGCTTCGATTCCAACATGACTGCTTGGGCCTCTTGGGTCATAATCTATCTTTTAAACTTAACCTATCTTTAAACTAAAACGTTTATTCTATCTTTAAACTTACACTGTAGATCTTACTCTGCTCTAAACACAATACACTTAATTCTTTAGAATCTGTTGTGGGCTGAGCTATGCTCCCCAAACAGACATGCTAAAACCCTAACCTTGGTGTCCAGAGATGTGACCTTACTTGGAAATAGGGCCTTAGCTGATATAATCAAGATAAGATGAAGTCACACTTGATTAGAGTGAACCCTAATCAACAGAGAAAGGAGGTTCACTTGAACAGAGACATAGATGCAAATACAGGGGGAAGGCAGCCAGGCGACAAGGAAGGCGAAGAATGGAGGGACACAGTGGCCAGCTGACAAGCCCTAAGGATCACTAGAGCCCCAGAAACTATGAAGAGTCTTCACAAGGAGTGCAGCTCTGCCAGCATTTTAATTTTGGTCCCTGAACTTCTAGAACTGGGAAGTAATAAATTACTGTTTTGTAAGCCACACTTTTTGGGAATGTGTTATAGCAGGCCTACAAACTAACAAGAGTTCAAATTATAACTGGGTTAGAGAGCATTACATTACCTAAAGATTAATGAATAAAGGAAACATCAAACTACCCAATGGACATTTCATTTTCAGAACATGTAGAATGGGTTCCCAAACCCTAAAGGGATAGTTGTCAAAATCACTTAGGGCATTTAAGAAACAAAAGCTAATGTAAATAACAGAGCAGTACTGCCTGGGATTCCCATGGAAGTGGCTAGGTCTGGAGCAAGCCACGGGACTCTGCTGCCTAGGTGGTTCTGATCAGTACACAAAGAGGAACGATGGTGCGGGGCCAGCCTTAAGAGCTGTGTGATCTTGAACATAAGTGCTTGGTCAGGGGCAGCTATCACAGCTTTTTTTCGTTCTCCTACCTAAATGTTTTCAATGGTGTTAAGTATAAAGCACACTTTCCGTTATGTAAAGCGGATTCTGAATCAGTGGTTCTCCATTATGGAGGGACACGAGGATCACTTGAGGACCCTGAACTCATGCCAGCAGTAGTAGCCCTGTCAGCCCAGACTGACCGATGAGGACTACTGCTGCGGGGGTGGGGTGGGGGGTGGGGTGTCGCAGAGAAGAATTGGAGGAAAAATTTGGGTTTGTTGCTTTCTGTGGTGGATTAGCTTTGACCAGAGAGTAGCTTCTTCGCACGGATGTTCTAGAAGCAATAAAATACATTTGAGGGGGTGCCACAAAACGTTCAAGGAAAAATTCCATTTCTTTTCAATTATTTTTTTCCCCAAATTCTTAAAAGCACTCTTGTACTGTCACACTGAATTTGTCAGGGGTCTCCTTCCCCAATCATCTTAAACCCAATAACTGCATTTCTACATTTTCAAACATTTTCTCTTACCTTTCTAATGGTTGCAACACATATTGTAGAAAGATTTAATGGATCTATCGCTTCCAATTTCATTCCTTCCTTGAACCACTCACCACTCTGGTCTACTTCTTTCACCTGAGAATCACATGAAAGCAAACCTATTGTTATAACTGCTTCTCCTGGAGGACTGCACACCAACAACGTGCACAAGTCCACCATGTGCACACACCAAGTGCCTTCTCCTCCCTACCTACCGTGCTAAGTCAATTTTCCATCTAGAAGCAGACACGATATATAAGAATGCGCAGAATTTAACAAAATTATAAGGAACACTTGTGACACCTGTAGTCTTCATCCTTTAAGTGAACATGTAATTGTGATTTTCATAGAAAAAGAGCCCCCAACACTCTTTCAAACCTAGTTTACAAATGAGGGGTCTTATAAAAGCTTCTTACCTTAGCAAATAAATGTGGTGGTGTATCAAAATGTCCATCCTGTTTCTTTGTAATATCTACAAGGAAAAGTTACATACTAATCTGTCAGCATTTGCGAGAAGACAAAAACCACATGCTTTGAAGGTCTCAAACTCACATGGTAGGTAATGTCCTAAAAGCATGGCAAAAATACATGCCTTCTACGATTATGGTGATAATATTCTCTTAACAGGCTTTAGTCCTCTGTGCACATGTGAAATGCTATTCAGCACATTCTGCCAATTAGAATGCTGGTAACTCCCCAGCCTGGGAAACTACCAGCTCAGAAGCATGTTCTAATGTGTTTAGTATCCAAGTCTAACTGCATTTAATCTTGCTATTTGGATGAATGGAAAAGGGAAGGCTATCTATAACAAAACTGTAGTTGTGACCAATAGTGCACTTTTTTAATTACAAGTGGAAGGAATTTACTGGCTAAGTTAAACTCCAACTCAGTGCCTTCGGGTTGATTCTGACTTGTAAAGACGCTATACAGGACAGGGCAGAACTGTCCCTGTGGGTTTCTGAGACTATCACTCCTTATGCAGTAAAGAGCATTGTATCTCTCTCCCACAGGAAAGCTGGTGGTTTCGAACGTCCCACCTTGGGTGGTTAACTGCCCATGGTGCAACCACTACACTATCAAGAGCTCTGTTAGAATTAATTAGGCTACTAATATTCTAGTGTGAACCTTAATTAAGGTAGAATCACCCAGATAACTAAGACGCTATTTATGAGCTATGCTATTCTTGGAGAAAAATAACCCGGTAGTATAATTCTACTTCATAATACTTTCAGTAGAGGTTTTTGTGTACGGCACTTACCAGATCTTTTGAATCGATGGCCTATACTTCGAGACCAACCAATGTGATGGATTAGTGGGCTGTGCATGTGGCACCAGAAGTCGTCAGTTCTGTCTTCACTCTCTTCATACACCAGTCTTACTCTTCCTCCAATTACACTTTCCACCACTGCAACTCGTGTCCGACACAAATGCCTCTTGTCAACCACTTCTACTCTCATGCAAGGTTTAAAAGGGTACTGCATACTCTCTGAAACCTTGAATCAAAAGCAGACAAAAGGTGTTTATAATTCATGACACTAGTGTACAAAGAATTTTAGTATTGCATTATTTAAAGTAATGAGTGCCCTCACTATTTAATATAGAGCAACTGGCACTACATCAATTCTTTCAGAAAACTTCTTGATGATTACTCTCTTTCTTTAGAGCTGGCGTTTAACACGTTTTTTATTTCCTGCAGCAGTCCAAAGGTCCGATGCTTACCTTCTGGGAGAAGTCAGGTGGAAGTGTTTTGGCACCCGTGAGTCGCTTCACTAAAAAAGCTTTCCAGTTTGTATACTTATGTTGAATAGCTAAAACAAAAGAAAAAGTCACACTCTGACCAAAACAAAACTGCTTCACAATATACTCGAAAAAGTAGCAAATTGCCCTGCAATTCATAGTATTAAAATTATGACAGAGAAACAGACAATAAGTAGAACACAACGGTCTTGCCAGGATGTCTATTACATGAGAAAACAAACATTTTAATATCTGGATTACTTTTAGTGCTGCAGTGTGAATCCAAATCCACCCATCCATCCATCCATTTAAGTACTTTTATTGGGGCTCTTACAACTCTATCACAAACCATATATTCATCCATTGTGTCAAGCACATTTGTACATATGTTGCCATCATCATTTTCAAAGCGTTTTCTTTCTACTTGAGCCCTTGATATCAGCTCATTTTTCCCTCCCTCCCTCATGAACCCTTGTTAAATTATAATTTTCATATCTTACATTGTCCGTTGTTTCCTTTCACCAGCTTTTTTGTTGTTTGTCCCCCCGGGAGGGGGTTATAGGTAGATCATGATTGATTCCACCCCCCACCCCCCACCTTCCTGGTATCTCTATTCTCATTATTGGTCCTGAGGGGTTTTTATGTCCCGGATTCCCTATGTTGTTTCAGGGTCTTATCTGTAGCAGTGTGCATGTTCTGGTCTAGTCAGATTTGTAAGGTAGAACTGAGATCATGATAGGGTGTGTGTGTGTGTGGGGGGAAGCATTAAGAACTAGAGGAATTTTATGTTTCATTGGTGCTATACTGCACCCTGACAGGCTCATCTCTTCCTTGTAACTCTTCTGTAAGAGGATGTCCAATTGTCTACAGTCTCCACTCTGAACCCAAACCCCCCAACATTGGTATGATTTTGTTCCGGGTCTTTCATGCCTGACACCTGATCCCATCGACACTTCATGATCTGGTGTGCTTCTTCCGTGTGGGCTTTGTTGCTTCTCAGCTAGATGGCCACTTGTTTATCTTCAAGCCTTTAAGACCCCAGACACTATAGCTTTTGATAGCTGGACACCATCAGCTTTCTGCTCCACATTTGCTTATGCACCCATTTTGTTGTCAGTGACGGGTATTGGCAAGGTGAGCATCACAGAATGCTAGCAAATCCACCCATTTAAATGGCAGAGAACTAAGTTACTTACTTCTAGGAGGGACGAGAGGCTTCCCACTGGCTGCACACCAGCCAACAGGGTGGATGTCAGAACCACATATATTGCACCAGAAGTCCAGACCAGAATCATTTTCAAATCCTTCATATCTTAAAAGGGCATTGTAACCTGAAACCAACAACCTATATTTACCAATCACTACAGAAAAAGAAAACATACGGAAACAGGACATAGCTTTGAGCAGCAGCAGCTACCCAACTGTAGTATCCAACTGTGTGAGAGATAGAGTGTGGAGACCGACCACTTCCTGAGTTTCTGGTGTTGGTAGTGGTCCATGAACTTGCATTTCTAATCAGTCCCCAGGTGACCAGACGACTGGTTTATTCACTGTTTTTAGTGAATGGCTTCCTTCTCTGAATAGGCTGCAATTTTATCCCCTGCAGTGGATGAAGTGTTGGGCTATTAACTTTGAGGCTAGCAGTTAGAACCCAATAGCTGCTCTGCTGTAAGAAAAAGCAAGGCTGTCTGCTCTTGTAAAGATTTATAGTCTAAGGAACCTTAGGGCAAAAATGCCCCATGCTCCTGGACAGGAAGACTAAATATAGTGAAAATGTCAACACTACCAAAAACTTTATAAATTCAGTGCAATTCTGATCTAAATCCCAGCACAATTCTTCAGGAAATGGCAAAAATAAGGCAAGAAACCCACAATAAACAAAACAGTATTAAAAATAATGTAGGACAATCTACGGATTAGAACCAAGAATAATTCATAAATGTGGTAACTGTGGCTGAGTCTGGTTCATAGCGATCATCAACTTACTTCCTAAGTGGCAATAAGACAGCATAACATACAACATAATTATATAGAAAAAAACACACAGAAAATCAGAGAAGGAAGGAAGGTAGAAATAATGCTTCACTATTAAATGTATTGAGCTTTAGCATTTAATACAAGTGATTTAAAAACCTCAGAGATAAATAACAGTTGTTTTTAAATTATGGTGCAGAAAATTCAAGAGTTTAGAAAATGCAAATGTATTAAAGAAAAGGGAAGGATTGGACTGGGTAACACGGGTAGGTAGAGCATGGGGCACTTTTAGAAGAGTGAGCAAAGGCACAGGGATGGCAAAGGTGCTGCATGACGGGGAGAGGGACTCCAGTCATGTTGTGGAGTAACAATCACTTGGACTAGTGGCATAAGGTGCAATTCATTATTATTCTTAAAGGCCAACTTCCTTGAACTTGTTAGGACAAAGAAGACCTAAACATGCTGGAGTAGAAAAATGGAATTAAGAATCTTTCAGTAAACGTAGTCTATTGGTAGTATGGTTGCGTAGTGGTTACGTGTTCGTCTGCTAACCCCAAGGTCAGCTGTTTGAAACCACGAGCTGCTCTGAAGGACAAAGACAAGGCTTTCTATTCCCCTAAAGAGTTGTAGTGTTGGAAACTCAGAGGGGGCAGTCCTACCTGTTCGATAGGGTTGCTTAGAGTAGGGTATCTGGGGGAGAATGGCTGACGGAGGGGCTACAGAGAATAGAATGGGTCAGATAGCTTGTACTGTAAATCAATGACAAATTTTCTTATCCGAGTGGCTGCCTGTCCTCCAAAGTACTATAGCACCCTCCTACACACTCACTGAATTTACTCAGGAGGAACACAGGATTCAGGAAATTATCAACACCTGCTTACTTACTCTTGATACCATGAACTTTTTGTTATTTTTTCCACAGCATTTCCCTACTATAAGATTTGGCAAGTTTCTGCCCATGGGACAAATCCAGCAAGAATAGTTTTTACATTTTGAATAGTTGAAACCAATCAACCAACCAACCAAACACACAAACAAGAAAAACCCAGAACTATTTCCTAATAATTATCTGAAGTGCAAATTTCAGTGCCCACGGTAATATCCATTCATATACGTAGTGCTATGGCAGCGCTCAATCAGTGGGAAAACTGAATAGTGGTGGCAAGAAATGATGTAGAACATAGCTCTTAAAGCTGAAAACATTTATTACCTGATGCTTTTACAAAGTATGCTAACCCCTGCCCTATGCCATATGTATTATTTGGCAGTGCTTAAAACGAAGTATGTTTTCCTACAAAAGATTATAAACATCACTGGCATTTTCTAGTAAATAAGTTATTCATTTTTTTCACCTGCTAGTTTTACAATCCCAGCAATCCAGAAGACTTTGGTAGGGAGGCTGCAGTCTGTATTGGGAACTTCTACTCTCACATTTTCTGAGATATCACCCCAGCAGGTCCCCATAGGTGCCTGTATATAAAAAGGATTAAATTAACACCTCTAAAGCATATTCAAAAGCAAGCATTATCATGACATACAACTACTACTTTACTTCATTCGTTCTTCTCTGAAATATAAATTTATTCTCCTTTTCACAGAATTCTACGTGGGAAAAGCCAGTGTCAAGGTCAAGTCCAAGCTGCAGAGAATGCACATAAATTAGAATACACATCCATGCCTCAATTTCAATACTGTCCGAAGACAAGACTTGAGCAGCAATTTTTGTAAAGCCGAGTCACAAACACGGTAACAGATAATGCTGATTTCGAAACATTTTAATTTGCGGTTTGTGCTGAGTGTCCATATTTTACCCTAGCCTTTAATTTTAAAGAACAGAACAGAAAGGACAGAAAAATAATTCCCATCTGAAAGGTAGTTTCCAATAATACAAACAGGAGAAGCAGAGCTAACCTATTTGTTTCAATTTATGTTAATTTCATAGACTACAGTCTGCTAAAATAGACATGAGGGAGAAAACACTGAGTAACATTCATTATGATGGTAGAGTTGAAAGAGTGTTCAAGAGGTATATATGCCACAATAAACTGCTAACTAATTGATTACTTCTAAATCTTTCATACAGGAATGACTATAAACAAAGAGAAACCTTTCAATGTCAGAAGTGGTAATCATTAGCCTCTGCACCAAGTGGTTAAAAATGGAACAAGAAAAATGATTTTCCACATCTAACTCATGTCCCTGAATTATAACTACCATTACATTTTAATCCATAAAACTCAAGGCAAAATTCAGAATTACTTGGTATTTATGCAGTGGTGATAAATTAATTCAAATAAATGGATTTAGGAATATAAGTACTGATTAAAAAGACCTGATAATTTGAACAAAGCAGAAGACAAAACAGCCTCAAATCTCAAACATGAGCAAACCAAGACATCAGGAGTTACATTTAGAACACTGGGCCAATGTCTTTTATGCAAGGCCCCTCATTCTTTGGTAGATGCTAACCCAACAGGAGGATTAGCCTGAAACACATACATACACAACAACCCCTAGCCTACCTCTCATTAGTGTGTGTAGTTTTTGAAAGGGAGAAACAGAATACCAAATAATACCCAACTAGGATAAATCTAGAAATCCAAAACAGCATCAATGAAGTGTTATGTGTTATGTAGTGAGCAATGAATGTATCTCAGTAACTTGGGAGACAGGACTAATCTTTACTTGTTTTGGAAGGGTACATATAAACCTATCTTTATCAGCTTTGCAAAAGATAATAATCTACCACTCTTTCTACTTTTTAAAACGAAAGCTCGTACCCTTCTGGTTCTGCTACCTCCCCCTATAACATTCTAGACTGTAGGGCCATCCCTATTGCCAGCAGGTCTGATCAGAAAAGGAGAGCCTGGAAGGGAGATAAGCAACACGGATTAAGGTAACAGATGTCAACACAAAAACCATGTAGTAATTTCTGTGAAGATGAACCAATTAGAGCAGACAGAGAGTTAAATGTAGAAGGTAACTTAAGGCAGGGAATCCAATCCCCCTTGTTTGGCTGCCACATCTGTGAATTTGGTATCTTTTCCTTGAGAAGAGTCAGGCCTAGGCTGCACTGCAGACAAGTTTGGGGTTAGAAGTTGGCATATTGCTTCATGAATTTGGACAGCACTTCCTTGGAGCCTCGCTATGACAATCAGTCATACGGACAATTGAAAACACAAAAAAACATTTGAGGCAATAAATTTTAATCATACTTTACTAAAGAAAACAAAGTGTCCATGTGCTTATTTAGAAAAATGAAATTAAGTTCACTTTAAGAGGATATTATATTTTGGTCCCTACAGTCTGGATTGGTATAGGAGATAGTAGCAGAAAGTGACATTTGTTCTTGCCTGTAAGGTTGCGGTTCTGCTAGGCCCTCTTAAACCAATCCATATGGTTCACTCTAAGTAAGGAAAAAAAAAAAAAAGAAGAAATAAGAACAACAAAAAAAGAGCACCAGTTACAGCAAAGTGCGTGCTCAATGTGTTGAAGTATAAGTTCATTTAATAGATATATCTGCCCTTTGTTGAAAATAAATATTCTTAAGTGTGGAAGACTAAATGACCCAGGGCTTGACAGCCATCTTCATCCAAGTCATCTGTCTTCTCTTGCTGGCAGGAGGGATACCTCTGAAAGTCTGGATTGGCATAGTACGAACTAGCAGAACCATGATTTACAGGTAACAACAAATTTACCTTCCAGACTCAGGACGGAGGTCCACCTCAGGCTCCTCCCAAACAAAGAAGGTCTGCTTCACCACTTCCTGCTCCAGGGCCACTCGTGTGGGCTATCTGGGAGCGACTCTCCTTCCCTGCAAGGTAAGCTGTCATCAGGAAGGTCCTGCAGGATATGGCCAAATCCAAATGCTGAGGGCTCCCCAACACAAATGTATGGCATTCTTCCACCTGACGGGCTGACTCTTTGACATGAGGCAGGAAGTCTTACTTTATTCACTTTAAGAACATTCCCACAGTCTAACAGCACAGGCGGCTAGTGTTTGCTCTCAGAAGTTTTGATAAAACACACACACACACACACAAACACACACACACACAACCATGGTTTGCTGCAGAAATACAGAATTCTGTCCACAGAGCTGCCAGCCTGTAACTTTTTATAACCACATGAGTTTCAGTATTAACAGAGCATGAATGGGAAGAGGTTAATTGTGACAATGAAGGTAAGTAACCAAGCAAGACTCCATTCCAACAGTTAAATATGGCAAATGTAATAAAAGCTATCATTAAGGGAATTATGACCAACAGGTATATGATACTAGGATACAAGGGTATCCTAGGAGAGAAAGATAAGGTAATACTTGGCTTAGGAAACATTGCAGAACATTAACCAGAGAGATATCAGAATTCTTTTTTAAAAAAATTATTTTATTGGGGGATATCAGAGTTCTTAAAGACTGTTACTGCAATCAGTATGCAACAGAAAATGGTTTCTTCTGCTCTAGAAAGTCCGTGTCCCTGCTGGACTTGATACCAGACATATTTTTCTGGGGTAGCGGCAGCAGAGAGAGGGCTGTGCCAGGATGGTGAGGAGGCAGCCGCAATGCCTGAAGTGCAGATATGAGTAAGGATGAGAGTGCCATGTCCGCATAAAAGAAAAAAAGGAGCTACTAATTTCACAGAAGTAAGAGAGTTCAAAATAACCATTTTAACCAGAAACACTGCAACATTGTTTAAGAATGAGAAGGTTCAAGTTGAAAAGCAAAAATTACTTTAGGAAGTAGACCGGAATATTGAGGGCAACAAATGTATAGATGTGCTTCACACAATTGATTTATGTATTGTGATGAATTGTATGAGCCCCAATAAATTGATTAAAAACAAACAAAAAAAAAGGAAGTAGACCAAACTGAAGAATATAATATTTTACATTTATTCAGGCATCCTTTAAAAGACATTTTTCAAGGTCTCAGACTGTTGCTGGCCTGCAGATTCTCTGCTGTGATCCCTGCGGGGCGGGGCGGGGCAACAGGGTTCTTGTCATTGTCATGAGAAAGCAATTCCGCAGTCCAGCAGGAGGAAAAGCGAAGGCTCTAACCCTGGACACAACCCCCCCACTATCATGATCCCAGTTCTGCCTGACAATCCACGGTCGTGATCCCAGTTCTACCTGACAATCCACGGTCGTGATCCCAGTTCTACCTGACAATCTGGCCAGACCAGAGCATGCACCTGGTGCAGACAGGAACTGGAAACACAGGGAATCCAGG